GTGGGGAACTTAAGGCACTTGGAATACATCTATAATAATAAAAGCATAATATGCTAATTAGACCAGACAGCCAAATGACCTTCCAGACGACCTTCCAGCGAAGCCAGGGCTGCGAGGGCTCAGGCAAGACGCCATGGCTGCAAGGGCCGAGCCCCTTGCACGAATTTTGTGCATCGGGTCTCTAGTATATCTATATATATAAAAGACTAAAGCGACCATTACGACTGTTACACTCTGTCGACCAGTCGCTATGATGTGCACTGACCACCAGGGGGCAGGCAGGCGGTAAGGAGCGAGGGGTCCCGGACTGCGAGAGCCCTGGACTGCAAAAGGGATGTCTGCCTGCCAGCTTAGGCCCAGCCTAAGCTGGCAGGCGGACATCCCCCAAGGGGTCCCGGACTGCAAGAAGGTGCAGGCCAGGCTGAGGGACTCCTATATATATATATATATATATATATATATATATATATATATATATTTATATATTCTTGAGCAGCAGTCACCAACCAGTTGGCAACCACTGGTTGGCGACCACTGCTCCAAAGGTTTCCTTAAACTAGGGGTCACCAACCTTTCGGACCTCATGGACCACCAGTGGTCCGCGGACCACTGTTGGGGACCGCTGATCTTGAGGATTATATGCAGAAGCCATGAATGGAGAGCACCAGGCAATAGGGTCATGCAAATATTTCCAGCTACACTTGGCAGCTCAGGCCCTGAAGCAAATAGAAATGGACAGTGGAGCCAGGGTTGGCAGTGAGGGAACAGGAGCAGTGGAGAGGGGCATAAGGGCACAAAGGACTGTGGGCCCTTCTAGACAGAAGAGCTGCCCCTGCTGGCATGCCAGCAAAGATCTTTTAAAATCTCAAATATTTGGAGGCCCCATTCGGAATTTTTAAACAAAAACAAAGCCAGGGTTTACCTTTGCATTACCTTCCTCTTTTGGAAGAATGTGATAAACAGATAACTAATGCTAACAAATTTAATTCAAAAAGAATGAACTTTTAAAATACATCAGAGGCACCACTGGGACTGAAACACTAAATACTAGTTACTCCTCTTTACTCTTAAAGCTGACTCCCCCAAAACTCCTATTTAGCAAGTACTTTGGGAGACTGTGTACAGAATAGCAATAAAAGAGCATTTATTTCTATTTCATTATTCAGACAGGCTGCCATCCCAAGTCGATAAAAGCCAGGTTTTACTGGGATGTAACATAGCACTTGCTTGTTTTCAAAGCACTTTCTGATTTCTCACTCTTTTTATATCATCAGCAGGAATACATGAGTACCCTCATTTTGCAGTGGGGACACTAAGGCCAGGAGAGGTGAAGGCACATGTCTGAGGTCACCCAGTTCTCTTGCCTCCAAGTCCAAGGTTCACCCCTAGCCGTTCTCCTGATATGTGACACTCCTGGGCATCCCACGCCTTCCTCCCCACTTCTCATCTCTGACCTTGCAGACGGTACCAATGGCACTACTCCTTAGCAACACAGGTCCGGAGCTTGCTGGCCCTGGGCTAGCTTGGTTCTATGGGAGGCAGTCCTTTCTGTAAAACACCCCAAAGAAGCCCTCAACCACCAGGCCTGTGCGCTCACTCTCCCAGCCTACGTCACTCTCGCCCCCGGATCCCTGCCTCACCAGGACCACAAGGACACATGCAACTATTGCAAGAAATGTAGGATTTTCTTGTAAAAAATTCAAGCAGCTAATATTTATTGAGCACCTACTGGTTGCCAAGGACTCTGCTAGGACCTTGACATGTTACCTTCTCACCACCACTCAGCAAACATTGGAGTTCTCATCCCCATTTTACAGACGTGGATACTGAGGTTCAGAAAGGCTAAGTGACTTGCCTAAGGTCAATCAGCTGGTTGTTGAGGCAGCATTCACTACTCAGGTCTGTTAGACTCTAGGTCCCACTTTATTTTCAATCCACCTCACTGCCTTGGCTCGCCACTCTACAGGGGCCGAGAGACCCACGCCGAAGTGGAAAAAGAAAAGCGAGCCTTTCATTGTTGTTGCCTGGCTCCCACAAGACTCGGGGGAGCCTAATCCCACGGTGTTTACCCCAACCAACAGCCCCATGAGCTGGGGTCCTGGGAGGCTCACAAGAGTCAAAGGGCTCCCCGGCAGGTTTGTCCTGGCAGCTGGCCAGCAGACTTGTGCTAACACAGCAGCAGGCACAGGAAAGGCTCCAGAGAGAATGGAAAAGCACCAGACACTGGGCCACTGAGGGGAGAGAAGTGATTCCTGCCGCGTTCAGACGGGATGACGCTGCTGCCACCATCACTGGGCCGGGAAGGGACCCCAAGGCAGGGCAAGCGAAAAGCCCCGAGCACATCCACTTACTGTAGTGCTTCAGTGAATATGACTTCGGGGCCAGTCCAAGAGAGGCTCACATGGCTCCAAAGTGAACCGGCAGGCATGGAAGAAAACCAGCAACCCTGGCCTGCCTGCCTTTGCTCACACGCACACCCACCCTGCTACCTACTGTCACCTGGCATGCAAGACAGCACGCGTGATCCTATAGCAGCACGGCGGCAGCAGACCGCAGCCAGCCCGTGGGAAAGAAAGCTAACCCAGAACATTAATAGACTTGCCGGAGGCGAAATTTAGTGAGGGCAAGCCCTAGGAAATAAAATTATTTAAAAGGGGGCACAATTAAAGTGAACCTGGAAGAAGGGAGCAACTTGGATTTCCACAGGGAGGGCTTCCTCGGCCCGGCACTGGGAGGAGGTGCACCAGCAGTGGCAGGGTTATTCTAGAAAACCCAAAAATATCTTCGTCTGTGGGAAAAAAATGTTGGTGTTTCTGTAGCTCTTCTGCCTGCTAATGTTTTGCTTAGGCTGATATTACACTACATATGCGCAGGATGATCAAAACTGTTTCAAGGGAAACCACTCCTGGGATCTAATATTTGCTACAAATTGTTAGGCTGCCAAAATAATTAACTGTTAACTATCAATTATTAATTTACTCATTACTGTCAATAATTTATTAATTTTTAAATATATTTTTATTGATTTTTTACAGAGAGGAAGGGAGAGAGATAGAGAGTCAGAAACATCGATGAGAGAGAAACATCGACCAGCTGCCTCCTGCACACCTCCCACTGGGGATGTGCCCGCAACCAAGGTACATGCCCTTGACTGGAATCGAACCTGGGACCTTTCAGTCCGCAGGCCGACGCTCTATCCACTGAGCCAAACCGGTCTTGGCTGTCAATAATTTATTAATGACTAATTATTGATTATGCTCAGGTCTGCCACAGGGGGGCAACTCATTAATTAAAAGGAGAGGGGCAGTTTGAGAAGTCGAAAACCGGCAGCCATTGAGATCAAATTAACCCCATGGGTATGTTAGCCTGCTTAGAACTTTTTAGAAAATGAATGGTCATCGGTTAATCAGAAGATTACACACACACAAATCTGAATTTCTACCATTTTTTAGAAAACCTGAAAAATCTGGTATCACTGGGCAAGCAGCACAAATTGGAAGATGCTGAGTAGCGACTGCCCCCTTTCGGCAGGCCCCGTGCTGTCCAGTTGCTGGCCTGGCGCACTAATTTAAGCTACATGACTGACCCCTGTAGGCACCCGGGTTTGTTACTCCTAGTTAAAGCCCAGGGAAGGGATCACAGACTTGGTCATGCTCAGGACTGCCACAGGGGGGCAGCACCGGTCTGTCAATGAGGCCTGTAACCAAGCTGAGCTTGGAATATCCTTTGGTAACCAGAAATCCCATCCTCACTTGGGTAGCAGACACTCCTCCATATTCCCGATCAGATTTGTTCCCTGAGAAGTTAACAGCAGCTCATGTCAACATTCCCACTAACCCTGGGCAACTTGACTTGTTCTCTCCTCTCTGGCCACCACCTTCCACCTCCTCCCAGCTCCTCTCATTCCACAGCTGGTATTTCCACCTGTTCAGGAATTCTTCCTTCACCTGGTAACACCATCAGGCCTCAGATCCTTCCCCTTTTTAAAGGCAGTTTGTTCTTCATCAAATGGGCATCACCTGCCTTTGCTCACTTAGGTTAGACGTCAGTTGACCACATGAGGCAAGAGGTTATTGTGCCTCTTCCTGCCCTCTGCTCTCACCCCTTCCAACCGCACCAGCAGCACCTTTTTTATTTAACACTCACCCGAGGGTGTTTTTAATGATTTGAGAGAGAAAGGGAGAGGAAAAACATCAGCGTGAGAGAGACATCAATCGGCCGCCTCCTTTGTGTGGATCAAACCCAAAACCTGGATATATGCCTTAACTGGGAATCGAAACTATGACCTTTCCGTGTATAGAACGATGCTCCAACCCACTGAGCCACACCAGCCAGGGCCCCACGGCATCTTAAGTGGTAGCTTTTAGTATAATCTTCTACAGCTCTTTAGGAAAGACATTTTATATTATGTGTTGAGACCCTTAAAACTGCTCATCCCATTTCATCCAAAATGCCATTTACTATTCCTACCATTTAACCCAAAATTCAGGAAAAGCCTTATATATTCATTGCACTATTTATACTGGTGAACAACCAGAAACAACCTAAATGTCCTCCAGCAATAGGGAAATTATTAAAAACATAACAAAATGTTAGCTTTTCAGTTGTATTCGAGCCCTGGGGAGCTGTACTAGAGCCCTTTTTAAAAATCCCTACCAAATGTTCTTTTAAGTACATCGATTATTTTTATAGGAAAAAGTGTGTGTGTGGAATTGGAAAATTTGATAGCAACTGTTAAGCACCCTGGTATATTCTAATTTAGATCCTGAAAGGTCCAATAAGCCTCTTATTACCATGATAGGAAAGCCTCTGGGAACCTGGGCCTCCAGGACTCACCACCTCCAGGACCCAGGGCAACCACACTAGTAAAACAAAGCCTCCAGGACCCTGGAGTCCTTAGTTAAGGCCAATGTTATCCGATCCTGAAATCCTGAAATGCCTGCCCTTGCATAACTCCTGAGGAGACCCCACACACCATTTGGAAGATAGAATTAGATCAGTATGGTTCTCAGATGCCACTTTAATCAAGTTTTGCACTATACAGTGATGGGGGGGGGGGGGGGATGCAAGATGGTGATTATTTTCAAGCAGATTCACCTACCCCAAGGTGAACAGCCTGGGCTGCCAAGAACAACCCCTCCCCAGCGAGTCCCCCCCTTTCCTGAGCTCGTAGGACAGGATTTCAGCAAGAGTGAGCACAAAGGACTGGGCAAACGAGGGAAGGAACCAGGTAGATTTCTGAATTCTTCCCATGCAAACGAGAACTAGACATGAGGTATCTCTCTTAAGGCAACACCCCAATCCCATGCACTTCAGCTTGAGGCCAAACGGCCTCCCAGCAGGGACCGACAGCCCAGGTTCATCTCATAACACTCCTCCCAGAAGTGCGCCCAGAAGCCTGGGCAGCTGTGCCCACCGTACAACAGATGCAGCCTGCAGGCCAGAACCCTCCAGGGCCGTCCTCTTCACTGGCCCCTCAGCTTCTAGTGTGTCCATGTGCCTGGCTGTAGAAGAGCACCCAGTATGTGTGTGGCTGGGTGGTGCCCGAGGGGCCAGAATAAGCAACAACGCAAATCAGCTGTGGATTCTGGAGCTGGGTCAACATGGTGGCAGGACCAGTCACGGCCTATGGAAGGACCCATATGGCCCTGTGTCCTCTACTAATTCTTCTCCGGGCGGTTTCTGTTCAGGACAGCTTTAGGGGCAAATTCCAGCTTGTCCTTAAGGCTCAACACCTGGGTGTGGTCCTTGCCTAGCAGCTCATCCAACTTTCGGTCCTCCCGACGCTCTGAGATGCTCTTCTCCTCCTCCACGGGCTGGGGATCTTTTCCCCGGATGAACCATTCCAGGTGGTAGCCCACAGCCCCGACCACGAAGGCCACAGGAAATGTGACATAGGGAGCATAAGTACGCACCACGGTCCAAAACACAGGCCACATGACGTCTGCAGAAGAGCACAAGGCAGCATTAGGGAAACACCAGCTGCCCCTCCCCACCAAACGGACCACTACCAAGCTCCCCACTCACCAGGCAGCCAGGCACCATTTACTGAGCATCCACCCCTTGCAGAGTAAAGCAAGAAAGAACCCTGCTTTATGCAACAGTTGGGTCCCTGAAACAATCCAGAAAATTTCGGAAGATTCAACTGTTAGGGAAGGGGACAAGACTCTCCATTTTATGACTCATACTTTTTGACAATTATGCAACCATGTATAGCAGAGTTCCCCATGAGGGGACCTCTGGGCTTACCGAATAAAGCTTTAAGTCTATTTTTTCTTTTTTTAAATATATTTTATTGATTTTTTTACAGAGGGGAAGGGAGAGGGATAGAGAGTTAGAAACATGGATAAGAGAGAAACATCAATCAGCTGCCTCCCGCACACTCCCTACGGGGGATGTGCCCGCAACTAAGGTACATGCCCTTGACCGGAATCAAACCTGGGACCCTTCAGTCCGCAGGCTGATGCTCTATCCACTGAACAAAACCGGTTAGGGCTATTTTTTCTTTTTTATGAGACTGACCTGCTGCCTACTGCACTAAGAGGCAGTAGGCAGCATATATATATATATAATATATATATATTATATATTATATATATATTATATATATATAATATATATATTATATATATATATATATATATATATATATATATATAATTTTAGAGAGGAAGGGAGAGGGAGAGAGAAATAGAAACATCAATGATGAGAGAGAATCACTGACAGGCTGCCTCCTGCACGCTCCATACTGGGGATTAAGACGGCAACAGGACATGTGCCTAGACCTGGAATCGAAACGTGACCTCCTGGTTCACAGGTAGATGCTCAACCACTGAGCTACGCCGGCCGGGCTTCAAGCCCTATCTTGACCATAGGCCTTCCCTCCATAGTGTGCCAACCTTTCAAGAATGGGAACGAAGTCTTTCTCTCAAGTGCCCCAACCTGGCCTAGGAACAAATCTGTAACCCAGGTACCTGCCCTTGACCGGGAATCGAACCTGAGACCTTTCGGTGCTCGGGCTGACGCTCTACCCCTGAGCCAGTCCCACCAGGGCAAGTTCTCTCTTTATAAGCAAACACTTTCCCTAAACAGCAACCCTCCATTCAGATTCCCAATTTTTCTTAAAACCTATCAAGTATGAGTCCACAAGTATTACCTGCCACATGCTGCACCAGGTCTCCCTGTCCTCCAACTCGCATTCCAATCACTTTCAAGTAAGTCGATGAATTCATGTACTTAACACTTACAACCCTTTGCTCTGGGTCACACCCTGTGCTGGCGTACCCCACTTGTCTGCCTCAAAGCACTGTCAGCACCAAGAGGGCAAAGCCCATAATGTCTGTGGCCCACTGTGCCCTATCCAACCCCCAACACCTCCCTCCCTTGCCCGGCCTGGCATGAAATGCTCCAACAAGTTTGTTGAGTGAATGAATGAAAGCTCGAGCAACACACTAATGTAAAACCACAGGAGTCATCCGCCCGCCCGCCTTCAAAAGGCAGCAGGAAGACAGCAGGTGCCTCTGATGATTACGAGACTCGAACCAGTCGCCCCCCGGGGGAGCAATACGAGTGAGGCCAAGGGTCTCGCACACACGGTGATGCGTATTTCCAGTTCGGCGTGGAGGGGGCCTGCACGCCAGGTAGAGGTCAACCGGTTGCCGGCAAACCTGCCCTTGTGCCGGGCCCCGGAGGCCCAATGAGGTCCAAGCCCGAAGTCCGGGATTCGAGAGCTGCTAACAAGGGCAGAGGATACCTAACGGGATTGAAGATTAACCCTGACCCTGACTCGAGCCCGGGCCAGGGGTGGGGGCGCAGGTGAGGTCAGGGTCCATGTATCCAGCCGTCTCCCTCCGCTGGGCGCCCGGCCCCGGCCCCTATCCCACCACGATCACGGCCTCGCCAGCGGCGTCCGTCCTCACCCACGTGTCCGAGACCGGGAGGCCCTGGCCCCGAGGACAGCGGGGCGCCCAGACTCGACCTCCAACCCCCGGTTGGAAGGAGAGCCGCCAGGCCCGGCCGGGGCCACAGCGGACACTCGTGATCACCTGTCCGGTAACTCAGAGGTCAAAGTCAGGAGCCGTCGCCAAGACCGCGGGCGGCCGGGCAGCCGCCCCGGGGAAGGGAACTGCCGGCAGGGCGCGCGTGCTCACCTGAGCCCCGGCGTCCGGCCCCCGCCTCCGCCTGCTCGTCCGCACCGCCGCCGCCGCCCCTCCCAGCGGCCCGCGGGGCCTCGCCGGGACCCCGCCCACCGAACCCCAGCTCTCTCGGAGCGCAGGGATTGGCTGAGCTCCAGTCAAAGGAGCGGAGCAAGCGAGGCGCCCGCAAGGGAGCCCGGCTGCGCTGAGGTGGACACACGCCCCCTAGGGGCTCGGAGGTTTACCAGGGACGTAACCACGTGCTTCTCGGGTGGAGAAAGGAAAAGGTCGTCCACTCATTGATTCAGCTGGTGATGATTACTAGGTGTCTTCTAAGACCTAGGTCTGCGCGCGCACACACGCAAAGACGGGATCACTGACCTCAAGAAGCTCCCTTTAGCAGACTATAATCCAGGGCTTAAGGACTCTTCGGATCTGGGCTAGCTTTCTAACTGTGACCTTGGGAACAGTGTAAATCTGTCTTAGCCTCCCTTCCCGCTCCTAGGCAAAGGTAATAGCACTTATTTCACCAGATATTGTGAGGGTTAGATAAGATAATGTAAGTAAAGTGCTATACCAGCCACACAGCAAGCAGAGAAATAAACTGTTTACAAATAATACAAATATAATAAAACCTAAGTTTTACCTGATCCTTTAGGTACAAGTATTCACACACACACCCATGTCCCCACTGCTCCCTGTACAGACATCTATTTTTATTATTATTATTATTGATTTCAGAGAGGAAGGGAGAGGGAGAGAGAAAAAAACATCAATGAGAGAATCATTGATTAGCTGCCTCCTGCATGCCCCCTATTGGGGATCGAGCTCGCAATCTGGGCATGTGCCCTGATTGGGAATCGAACCATGACCTCCTGGTTTATGGGTCCATGCTCAACCACGGAGCCACATAGGCCAGGCTAGACACCTATTTTATTGCGTATAGAGAAAAACACCAAAGCTCAAGCTCCCACCTAGCCCTGTCTTTCTACTCTCATTCCACTAGTCTCAGCCAGGCATATTTATCGTTAGTAACACATGCTTAATCCCTCCTTTTCCTCCATGCAGACCAAACTGTTTCACACCTCTATGCCTTTAATTATGCTCTTTCATCTGCCTGCAGTGCCCTTCCCACCTTTCTTTACCAAATATCTCTGGCTCATTTTTCAAGCTTGAGGAATACCACTGTGGAAGCCTCCTGGACTGATTATTACCCTTCCTCTGTAATCTCAAAGAGCTCAATGCTAAGATCTAGCAGTGCAGATGGAGAGAAAGGAATAGTATAAAGAAATGTGCAGGAAACTGTCTTTAGCAGAACTTGTTCACTAATTGAGTAGTTACAGAGAAGGGAACAGAATTACCTAGAATAACCAGCATTCAATCAGCCGATTAATTAACATGTGCTGGGCATCAGGGATGCAAAAAATGAATGGGACCATCCCTGCCCTCAGTTCTCTGACTGATGGGGAAGCAGACTGGTCTACAAAATGTCAACAGTATGAGTGCCCTGGCTGGGTGGCTTAATTGGTTGAGCATTGTCTTGTGCACCAAAAGGTTTCCGGTTCAGTTCCCAATTGGGGCAGTTGCAGGAGGCAACAAATCAATGTTTCTCTCCCTCTCTCCCCACCCCCCTTTCTAAAATCAATAAACATATCCTCGGATGAGGATTTAAAAAAAAAAAGTCAAGAGAGTGAGTAATGTGGCGATAGAAGTATACACAAGTGGCAAAGAGAAGGAGTCCCAGGAAGAATTAGGGAAGGTTCCCCAGAGTAACCTGCCCTTGAGCTGAGTCCCAAGTGACGGCTAGTAGTTCCATCAGGCAGAATTGAGTGGAGCTCAAGACTTAGGAATCAGCCCAGCCGGTGTCGCTCAGTGGTTGAGCATCGACCCATGAACCAGGTGGTCTCGGTTCGATTCCCGGTCAGGGCACATGCCTTGGTGGCGGGCTCTCTCCCTGGGTAGGGGGCATAGGGGGCGCCCCGTGCAGGAGGCAGCAGATTGATGCTGTTTCTCTCTCATCAATGTTTCTATCTCTCTATCCCGCTCTCTTCCCCTCCCTCTAAAAATCAATAAAAACATTATTTAAAAAAGACTTAGGAACCAGATAGATGTGGGTTCAAATCCTGCCTCTGCTGCTTGCTAATCTCAGAAAAACTGTGTTTTTAAAAAGACAATAGTACCCACCCCCTGGAATTGCTCCGGGTACTAACTCACATAATGTGTATACAGTGCACAGCACTCAGTATCTCCTACGTGCTTAGTAAGTGGTCACTGGTATGTTCAGTATTCTCCAAATTTATTTCTCCTTCTGTCATAGCCTATGTCCATTTTTGGCATTACTTATTCACTAAGCCAAAAGCCTGAGTGAAATCTTCAAGGTATCTTCATCTTTGCATTATTCCCTAGATCCAGTTCATGTATAGAACCTACAATTCCTGAATGTCTCTCAAATTAATCATTATCTCTCACCTGGACCCCCCTAACAACTCCCTCAGTGGTCTCTCTAACTTCCATTTTCCCTTTCAGTGTATTTCCATTCTGCTGGCCAAAGGTTTGTTAAAAAAAAAAAAAAATTAAATGAGCCCTGGCCAGTGTGGCTCAGTTGGTTGGGCATTGTCCTCTGCCCTGAAAGGTTGCTGGTTTGATTCTCAGTCAAGGCCCAGGCCCAAGTTTCACTCTCAGGGTCTCGCTCTCACATTGATGTTTCTCTCTCTCTCTCTCTCTCTCTCTCTCTCTCTCTCTCAAAAAAATCAATAAACTATTCTTTTTTAAAATATATTTTATTGATTTTTTACAGAGAGGAAGGGAGAGGGATAGAGAGTTAGAAACATCGATGAGAGAGAAACATCGACCAGCTGCCTCCCGCACATTCCCCACCCGGGATGTGCCCACAACCAAGTACATGCCCTTGACCAGAATCGAACCTGGGACCTTTCAGTCCACAGGCCGACGCTCTATCCACTGAGCCAAACTGGTTAGGGCAATAAACTATTCTTTTTAAAAAATTTTAATAAAATCTCCAGCTTAACCCCTTCTTCCCTTCTCTTTCTTGACTGCAAAACTCCACTTCATCCTGCAAGGCCCAGTTCAAAAAGTCCCTCTTGCCCTGGCTGGTTTGACTCAGTGGATAGAGTGTTGGCCTGGGGACTGAAGGGTCCCGGGTTCAATTCCAGTCAAGGGCACATGCCTGGGTTGCAGGTTCCATCCCCAGTGGGGGCATGCAGGAGGCAGCCGATCCATGATTCCCTCTCATCACTGATGTTTCTCTCTCTCTCTCTTCCTCTCCCTTCTCTGAAATCAATAAAAATATATATTTTTTAAAAAGTCCCTCTTACAAAAAGTTTTCCCAGACCATGGCCATTTTGATTCCTGGTCAGGGCACATACCTGGGTTTTGGGCTCAATCTCCAGTTTGGGACGTGCAAGAGGCAGCTGATCCAGTGACCTTCTCACACCGATGTTCCTCTCTCTCTCTCTCTCTCTCTCTCTCTCTCTCTCTCTCTCTCTCTCCCTCTCTCTCTCCCTCTCCCTTCCTCTCTCTCTAAAATCAATTTAAAAATTTTTAAAAGTTTTTCCAGACTCCCTGGCTGCTAGAGGCTCCCTCCCCTAGTCTCTTCAGCCCCCTGGGAGACCAGGCCTCCCTTTATACTATACCTTTCTGTTCATGTGCCTGGTTATGGCCAGGACTGGGAGCAACTCAAGCACAGGGAGGGGATCAAATCTTTCACTTATCCAGCACAACTACCCAGGCCACAATACCCAGAGGAGACTACCCTCCCCCCCCCCCCTCAGCCACGTCTGTAGAAGGATGCCCACACAGTTGCAGGCGCTGACCACACAGTTGCAGGCGCTGACCTGTTTCTCCCTGTCCACTCCCATATACTTCATCGTCCCGGAAAAGCTGGCCCAGTTTCTGGGAAAAGACAGACCCATTAAAAAACACACACACACAACAAATATATAATGTGGATGGTTAAACTCAGACTCAGGCACTTCCCAGCTTTGTGATTTGGGATAAGTTTAGCCTCTCCAAGCCTCAGTTTTCTCATTGTAAAATGATGGTGATGACAATATCTGCTTCATAGGATTGCTCTGAGTGCTGTACTGTCTAGTTCAAATCTCACCCATGACCCAAATATTACAGATGAGAAGCAAGATCAGACAGGTAGTGACTCAGCCAAAGCCTCACTTGGCTAGTCTACAGGAAATAGACAGATGAGGTTTTCTGGTGGAAACTTTTGGACAGTCATCCAATCTAAGTGTTCCCAGACCTAGCTGCCCATCATAATCACCTGGAGCGCTTGTTAAAAACGCCTTGGAGGGCAGAGAGTCTATTCACTAAGTTTTGGACAGGGCCCGGGAATCTGTCCGAGATCAGCCTGAAGTTGATTCACTTTTGGAAATTGGGATCACATGGGGGCCTTCTCCACCTTCCAGTGGTCTCATGTGAGTGTGTGTACGACCTCTTGCTTTTCAGGTGGTCTCCCAGACCAGCCTGTAAAATATCTGTTCATGCCACTCTTCTGTTCAAAACCTTTCCATGGCTCCTCCCCACAGCCCTCAGAATCTAGGCCTCCCCTACTCAAGTTGCCCCGTATGATCAAGCTTCAGCACTCCCAATGCCTCTTTCTTCTCCAGGCCCTTGCATAGCTGTTTTCTGATCTCAGAACATTCTTCCCAGCCTCAGGCCCACTTCAGTGGCTAATACCTCATCATCTTTCCAGCACTCACCCTTATATTTTATCTGCTTGGTCAC